AAGGAAGAAAGGAAGAGAAAGAGGAGGGAGTAGGAAAGGAGGAGAAGAAAGAGGAGGGAGGAGGAAAGGAGGAGAAGAAAGAGGATGAAGGAAGAAAGGAGGAGAAAGAGGAGGGAGTAGGAAAGGAGGAGACGAAAGAGGATGAAGGAAGAAAGGAGGAGAAAGAGGAGGGAGTAGGAAAGGAGGAGAAGAAAGAGGAGGGAACAGAAAAGGAGGAGACCAAAGAGGATGAAGGAAGAAAGGAGGAGAAAGAGGAGGGAGTAGGAAAGGAGGAGAAGAAAGAGGATGAAAGAGAAAAGGAAGAGGACAAAGAGGACAAAAGAGGAAAGGAGGAGGACGAAAAGGAGGGAGTAGGAAAAGAGGAGAAGAAAGAGGAGGGAGGTGGAAAGGAGGAGGACAAAGAGGAGGGAGGAGAAAAGGAGGAGACGAAAGAGGATGAAGGAAGAAAGGAAGAGAAAGAGGAAGGAGGAGGAAAGGAGGAAGAAAAAGAGGATGAAGGAAAGAAGGAGAAGAAAGAGGATGAAAGAGAAAAGGAGGAGGACAAAGAGGACAAAAGAGGAAAGGAGGAGGACGAAAAGGAGGCAGTAGGAAAAGAGGAGAAGAAAGAGGAGGGAGGTGGAAAGGAGGAAGAGAATGAGGATGAAGGAGGAAAAGAGGAGAAGAAAGAGGAGGGAGGTGGAAAGGAGGAGGACAAAGAGGAGGGAGGAGGAAAAGGGCAGAAGAAAGAGGATGAAGGAGGAAAGGAGGAGAAAAATGAGGTAGGAGGAAAGGAGGAAGAGGAAGAAGGAGGAAAAGAGGAGAAAGAGGAGGGAGGAGGAAAGGAAGGAAAGAAGAATGAGAAAAGGAGAAGAAAAGGGAGAGGGAAGAAAAGGAAGAGAGGAGGAAAGGGGGAGAGGAAAGATGTGGGAGTGTCATGGGTTAACATGTCTTTGTTCTGTTTCCTGTTTTGTTTTGTAATACTTTCTGTCTTGTTGTTCCACTTCCTCCGGTTTGATTACCCGACTCCTCCTTAATCACCTCCACCTGTGCCTCATAGGCTCCTCCACTGACTTTTGTATATATTATGGTCTGTCTCTTGTCCGTTGCATTTTCGTATTTGACAATTTAGTCATTCGTTCAAGCATTGTTCTTGTCTTGTCTTGCCTAGTGATCCTGACCTTTGCCTGCCATCTTTTGTACTGCCTGATCCTTTGTGCCTGTACGTGTACCGACAATTTTCTAATAAACGAGTGTGATTTGGGATATCCTTGCCTGGAGTCGTGCATTTCAGTGCTAGTATTCCCAGTGTGATGGGGGGAGGAAAAGAGGAGAAAGAGGAGGGAGGCAGAAGAAAATAGAGGGAGAAAATGAGGAGACGGAAGATGGAGGAGGAAAGAGGAAAGGAAGAAAAATAAGAGGCATGAGACACTTGGAGAAAATAACCTTTTTTTTTTACATGGACAGAAAAAGAAAAGCAGGTGAATGAACCAATCTGACTTATTCCTGAGATATGTGATGGTCAGACTAACATGTTGCTACCAGAGATTACCTTTGTGTCATTTACTAATGTTACGTTACAATTGTATTTTTTCTGATAAAAAGAAGAACTTACCCCTTTGAATGGCCTGTTTTCAATAGCTGGTTGTTTTAATGTGCTTTTGATTTCTCATTATCATTTCTCATTATTTTTTTAATATAGGTGGCAGCCCAGGGAGGGGTGTCCCAAAGTGCTTTAAAAAATTGAAACAGAAAAAGCATTCATCACATCAGGAATTAAATAACAACAACACTCAAAAGTAAGCAACTGAATAAATAAATACTTGTAACCGTACAAAGAATCATGCGGAGCAGTGAAAGGATTTGATCCCAGGGTCTCCTGGCTCTAAGCCCCTGGTAGGGGGGAAAACGAATACTATAAATGGACCAAGTGCTCCCTCACCCGGATGTGGGTCATCCGGGGCCCCATTCTGGAGCCGGGCCTGGAGGTGGGGCACACTGGTGAGCGCCTGGTGGCCACACTCAGACCAAAAAGGTCTCATGGGTCATTCTTCTGACTGGCTCACCATCCATGGGAGGGGCCAAAGGGTTGGGTACCATGTGGGATGGGCGGCAACCCAAGGCCACATTGGTGGACCAAACTTAGGCAACATAAGCTGCATCTTGGGACGTGGAATGTAACTTTTGTAGTGTGGAAGGAGCCTGAATTGGTGTGAAAGGCAAGAGGCTAGAAACTATTTGGACTCCCCCTGTCTTGCAGCTTTGGCTCTGTTACGGCCCCTGGCCTCGTGAGGCTGTGCATGCTCCTTGTCTTTTGTCATGCAGGACCAGCTGTGATAACCCCTCTTCGGATTGGCTGCCTGGAAGCTGCAGGAGTCGCAACCATTGGATCAGCAGAGCATGGCAAGGCAATCAGATGCTGATGAGCCTCACCTGTACCTTTAAAAGGCTCCTGAAACAGTCCTTCAGGGGGACAGCTAGTAGGAAGAGGTTCTGTAAAGCTGTTCCCCTACCTCTTGTTTGCTACGGCTTTGTAGAAGCCTTGGAACTTGTGTTTGCTACAGCTAAAGCACTGCGCATTCTTACCATTGGTTAGACTGTTTCTTTTGTTTCAATTGGGTTATGTTGTACTGTGTTTTGGTTCTGTGAAACCCTCTTTTTGTAATAAATCTCCTCCTTTATTTCATTCCTTTTCTCTGGACATTTTTATGTTACCGCCCCTGGACCCCTAGACCTTGGGGCCGTAACAGGCTCTAAAACCAGTATTTTCGAGAGGGACTGGACGCGCTTCTACTTTACCCAAGCGGAAGTGTGGATAGTATTGAGAAGTCCATTGGACGGGGTGAGGGAAAGTTCCCCTCCCAGAGTCTCCCTTGTACTGATGGGGGACTTCAATGCTCAAATGTCTGTGTGTGTTCCTGTGATGGACTGACCTGAGCACAGGCTGACAGACGGGACTCAAAACAAGAACACAACAACCTCAGTGTGGAGCAAAAATGAAAACATTTGTTCAAACAGACTGGAGATGTTCTGGAGAGCGTAGAAATGTTCTGAGCTGTGTGTTGATTTCTGGTCAGTTTGCAGAAAGCTGCTGGTCCTGGTTTTAACTGTGAGCTCAGTTTGTTGGTTCCAGATAACTGCAGCAGCAACAGCCTCCACCTGCTGCCACCATATGGTCAGAGTTCATCTATTTATTAAGTCTTTCTCAGCTTGAGAGACCAGAAGTGGAGGAAACCTCTAAAGACTGAAATAAAGACGGAATTACAATTAGAAACAGATTGTTTAGCAAAGAGCTGCTGGATTGATATTTTACCTGCCTGCTAGTTTCTTTTAGTATCATCACTCTTCTATTTCCTGTTTTTCTGATGTAGCTCAAACAGTTCAGCTTTTAAGAAAATCTGTGAGTATTAGAAATGAGATTACAGCAGAGAAGGTCCAGATGTCCAACCCTGAAACCAAAGACATGAATCACAGCTAACAAGAAAAGACCGTTACCCAGAACAAAAAATGACCCAACAGAAAAAAACCTTAGTCATCCATCCATTTTCCGATTATTCCCAATGGGGCTATGGTTGTGGAGCCTATCCCAGAGGCTAATCACCCTGGACAGGTCAATCCATCACAGAGACAAACAACCACATACACAGTTACTCCGAGGAGCCGCTTGGTGTTCAGTTAACCTAACATGCAGGTTTTTGGACAGTGGGAGGAAGCTGGAGAACCACAAGAGAACCCACACGGAGAACATGCAGACTGCCCACACAAAGGTGCTGGTTCAGCTAGGGATTTGAGCTAGGAACCCTTTTTGCTGGAGAGTAACTGTTCTAACCATGACATTGTTCTTGGCCAACATTAATCAGTGATTGATAATTGTTTTACATCTTTTTCTCTGTTTATTTCTAACAGTTTTTGGAGAATACAAACCTTCCAAAGGTGAGATCCATTTTTGATGGAAAACAAAAATAATTTACCTTCCTGTGTAAAACCTTTTCATTTATTTAAACAAAACATACCAGATTTTGTATGTGAAGGCTGCATTTCCAGTCTTTAAATGTCTGATACTGTATGTAGCGTTTAATGACTCCAGGAAAAAGCAGTCTGAGTGTTGAAGACCTTTTTTCATTTTGTAAAACAGTATACTGTTCATCAGTGTCTCTTCCTCCAGTGAGAGGAAAAGCTTAAAGATTCCTACTGAATACACAACTCTCAGCTACTCTGCTGCTGTCAGCACATTTTATTGAATTTTTACAGATGGGACGGATCCTCTGAGCATTTTAAAATCTGATTCCCATTGGAGACAGTACAGTTTAACAGAAACATTAAGAAGAGCTGTTTCATCTTGAAACCTGTGAGGAATCCCCTCCAGAATCTGCTGTCAGCTGCCTTCTTACAGGCTTCACTTTCTTCACTCCACTGACACTTTTGACACTTATTCTCATCTCTGTCAGTGTAATCAGCGTTTACATCATCTCAAAACAAAATTATTGAATGCATTTTTTTAAATGACCAGACAATGAGATTTTGATAAATGTTTACATACAAGAATGTATTTCTGTTGGATTATATTGATTCAGATACACGATACAAACACAAAAGGTCATTTATGAATTGCCACTCTGTAACATATTTATCTCATGGTTCAATGCACCAATGCATTCTAATCATCTCTTTGTTTTGGCACAACATTTATTTCCATAGTTTTGACAAAGTCATTTCCAAAATCCAGGATCTGCCTCATGGCGCTCAGAATCAGTGCGTCCATGTCAGGTTGCAGTTTCTTGTCTATGCAGTAGTTTTTCACAGGCAGGATGCAGTTGAGAGGAATGCCAGTACCAGAGCTGATTTCCTTCATCTGAGAGGGAAAGAAAAAGGATTTCCTGAAAAATGGAACATTATATCACATGTTCTGTTCCTGGATGAACTCTGTAACTAATAACAAAACTCACCTTGGTCTTCAGGAACTCACTCTTATAGACGTTTTTCAGGTTCTTTTCAATTTCTTCACAAGCCTCATCAAGAGCCACCTGAGGAATCCCTGCAGGTACAGAAAATAAATCAATAGATCATAATCCAACATTAACATACAGTGGTCTGCAAAAGTTTGGGCAACCTTGTTAATTTCAATGATTTTCCTTCATAAATCGTTGGTTCTTAGGATAAAAAAAATCAGTTAAATATATGATATAGGAGACAAACACAGTGATATTTGAGAAGTGAAACGAAGTTTATAACATTTACAGGAAGTGTGCAATAATTGTTTAAACAAAATTAGGCATGTGCATAAATTTGGGCACCACAAAAAAAAAAACAACTAAATATTTAGTAGATCCCCCTTTTGCAGAAATAACAGCTTCTAAACGCTTCCTATAGCTTCCTATGAGAGTCTGGATTCTGGTTGGAAGTGTTTTGGACCATTCCTCTTTACAAAACACCTCTAATTCATTCAGGTTCGATGGTTTCAGAGCATGGACAGCTCTCTTTAAGTCAACCACAGATTTTCAATAATATTCAGGTCTGGGGACTGAGATGGCCATTCCAGAACGTTGTACTTGTTCCTCTGCATGAATGCCTTAGTAGATTTTGAGCAGTGTTTAGGGTCATTGTCCTGTTGAAAGACCCAGCCCCGGCGCAGCTTCAGCCTTGTCACTGATTCCTGGACATTGGTCTCCAGAATCTGCTGATATTTGGTGGAATCCATGCGTCCCTCAACTTTAACAAGATTCCCAGTCCCTGCACTGGCCACACAGGCCCACAGCAGGATGGAACCACCACCAAATTTTACTGTAGGCAGCAGGTGTTTTTCTTTTAAATGCTGTGTTGTTTTTCCTCCATGCATGACGCCTTGTTATGTCCAAATAACTCAATTTTAGTTTCATTAGTCCACAGCACCTTATTCCAACTTGTCTAAATGTGCTTTAGCATACCTCAAGTGGCTTTGTTTGTGATGTGGGCGGAGAAAAGGCTTCTCCAGCATCAGCATCTCCTTGTGTAAAGTGCGCGCAATAGTTGTACGAGGCACACTGACTCTATCTGCAGCAAGATCATGTTGTATGTCTTTGGTGCTGGCCTGTGGGTTGACTTTGACTGTTCTAACCATTCTTCGCTTCTGTTTATCCGTGATTTTCCTTGGTCTGCCACTTCGAGCCTAAACTTGAACTGTGCCTGTGGTTTTCCATTTCCTGACTATGTTCCTAACTGTGGAAACAGACAACTGATATCTCTTAGACAGCTTTCGGTATCCTTCCCCTAATTCATGATGGTGAACAATCGTTGTTTTCAGGTCATGTGACAGTTCTTTTGAGACTCCCATGTCGCTACTCTTCAGAGAAGATTCACAGAGGAGGGAAACTTACAATTGCCCCCCCTTAAATACTCTTTCATAATTGGGTTCGCTCTGTGTATGTAGGTCAAGGGTCACTGAGCTTCCCAAACCAATTTTGAGTTCCAATAATTGTTTCTAAAGATTTTGAAATCAGTAAAATGACAACAGTGCCCAAATTTATGCACATTCCTAATTTTGTTAAAACAATTATTGCACACTTCCTGTAAATGGTATAAACTTCGTTTCACTTCTCAAATATCACTGTGTTTGTCTCCTATATCATATATTTAACTGATTTTTTTTATCCAAAGAACCAATGATTTATGAAGGAAAATCATTGAAATTAACAAGGTTGCCCAAACTTTTGCAGACCACTGTAGATGTCCAGAGAAAGCTCATCAATATATCCAGTAGCAGTTTATAACCCACTTTGCTCAAGGAGCAGAGAACCAGAGAAACAGTTAAGGGCAAAATTAAGATTCAAGGAAAAGTTTTAAAGGTGGATGACTGTAACAGCCAAGAAAATAAGATGCGGTACTTTGACAATGCTGGCATGTCAAAGTGGCACACACAGAGCGAGAATTCCAATAAAAGTTGTTGCTAAATGCTAATTAAAAGCATCATACCTTGATCTACAGATCTTATAAAGCATGTTTTAGGGATATGGTCAACACCTGAATGTTCTGAAACTTTGATTTAAGTATATTATTTAGATTTGCACAGAATAAACCTCCACTGTTATGCTGATGATACTCAGCTCTACATTTCTATGAACTTGTAATGGAGCACATTTTTATAATCTCTTCTTTTGTGAATTTTTTCCTGTTTGAAGGTAACATCAGAGACATCATGTACTGGTCAAAGATGTTTGCAGGCCTCATGAAGTAACACTCATACATCCTGTTTTATCTTCAACATGGGCTTTCCTTCCTGAGTTCTGTAGAACATGTTCTTGGTTATTCCATATAGCAAGTTGTTTCCTAAATAATATGCAAACTAAAGTCTTTATGTGTGCAGCAGTCAAGAGACAGCTCGTTCTTTCTTATCCTATTGTGGATAATATATAATATAATCAGCGCTGTTACTTGGGTTTAAAGCCGTGACCTGTGCCTCAAAAGTTGTTGACTTTAAATAGAATGTTTTTAAGAAAATATCAATATTCTCTAATCATTGATACATTTTGTCTCCCTCATTGTTGTTAAATTATTTTCATAACAAACTTAAAGCATAACTCTTAAGTGTTTTAAACCCCTGGTTCTCAGGGCACATTGATCTGCATTTTTTAAGGTCTCCAGCACAACCAGTTCAAATAAGTGGGAGGACTCTTCCGCTCTTTAAACTCTACAGAAGGCTAACGAAACCTGTTCATTTAAATCTGGAGTGCTGGAGCTGGAAACAATACACAGGAAACTGTACCCTCAGGACCAAGGTTTGGAAAGAGTCGCCTAAAGATCTGAATGAATCTGAGGTTTCCTTCCATGATGCACCTTTCCTCCCTCTATAGGCCCGACTGCTCGGGGGGGGGGGGGCTCCCATGATGCACCTCTCTTCCCCCTATGGGACCAGACTGCTGGGGGGCTCCCATGATGCACCTCTCCTGCCTCTCTCCCAGCAGCTTTCTCTGGCCTGGTGACACAGTGCTGGTTTGCTCCTCTTTATGTCCTCTCAGCTCCCAGAACCCCCATATGGTTCTGGTTCTGGTTCTCACGGAGGTTTGTTCCTGCTTATGGTTCAGGATGAGGATTGGATAAGAGAGAAGTTTCAGAAGTATCAGTTGGTTTCCTTTGATAGGAAACCTTTTTTTAATTGGCTCTGAATTAATTTGACTTATTGTGATTATAATGAAGTGGGATTAACTAAAATGTGATCACATTACTATTAATTGTATCTTTGAAGTGCCAAGAGATGTTGTTTGTTGCTTTGTTAATTAAATCTAATTTAATTGAAAAGTTGAAGCTGTAAGAAGGATACCTTAAAAAAACACACCCAAATTTCAAGAGACCATTTGGGTGATTGGTTTTCTCGTGGCGAGTAAAAAAAAGAAAGCTGTATTTGTTTGGTTTCACTTGGTTTTAAGTCTCACAAAGTCTTGTGAGGACCTCCCAACAACAACAACCCTGAAGGTACAGACAGAGATTATCAGGGTGTTAAGAGTTAAGAGAGGAAGTGGTAAAGGAGGAGAACAGGAAGCAGCTATCAGAAACACAGTTGAGTGGGATGTTTGTGGAGTCGTCAGTGGATAAGATTGCAAATTAAATTACTCCACTTAATGCTTTAAAGTTTCAGTGGGTCAGTTATCCCGTTTGGGATAAGTTATGTAGGAAATGGATGGATGTCTGAATAACAGACACATCACTGTGAGCTCTTACCCAGTCTACTGGCTTCCTTTCTGATGTCCATCATGTTTACCAAAATGGGTGCTGGAATTTCTGAAGAATTTCCATTAATGACAAAAACCAGGACATGAACCTTATCCGCTGGACCTGGGTTTGGGTTGTAGAATGGACTAGCTTCTGACAGCGGTGATGACGGATTAAACTGAAAACCAAAGAGATACATTTAACAAAAGTAGAAGTTTTTTCTGCATTACATATGTTGTAACATATCATTGTTAACTAACTTAATTAGAGATTGATTGTTACCTCGTAATTTTCCTTCATGTGCCCTTTGAGGGCCAGCTTGATGTTAGTCACACATGCTTCTGTTTCGTTTGTAGACTCCAAACCCACAATGTCACAGAGGACAAAGGGTAAGACGTCTCCATTCCTTTTCATTATCTTATGAGCCTTATACTGAAATGTATGTAGAAAAAACAGACTTATGTGGAAGTGTTAGTTTCTCAGACTACACAGAGTTTTATAGTATCAGTTTCAGAAACTTTAATAATGATAATTCCTTCGATCTCTGAACTCTGGGGTCAGAACACAGATCTGCTCCACACCCACCCACAGATGGGTCAGTCCTCCCCTCTTTAACCCTTCTTATACAGTGGTCACCTCATGTTTAACCCAAACAGTTACTGAATCATATCTGTGTGTGTTTAGAGGGCAAAGCTAACAGATGACAGCCTCCTCACTTAGAGCAGTGACATGCATCATGCTGTGGAACATTTAATAGAAACGTTTAAAGCAAAGCAGCACATCCATTATACCACGGACAAACAAAAATCAGACATGTACATTGTACATGATTATAGCTGGCCGAGCGAAGATTAGATATATTTGAGTTCAGACTCAAAGAGGAACTACGATACAGTTTATGGAGATGATTGATTTGTGTGCAGACAAACTATTCCTTATCAACACCTTAAGAATAAGGCTACCTCTCCCTGGGCTGCCACCTTAGCATGGTGGAGGGGTTTGATCCTAGGAACCTGGTAGGGCCACCCAAGGCAAACAGGTCCCGGGTGAGAAGCGGGTGACAAATTGTAGCCCAAAGACCCGTTATAATGAGTAACACAAATGGACCACAAGTGCTCCCTCACCCAAATACGGGTCACCAAGGGCCCCCTCTGGAGCCATGCCTGGGGGTGGGTCACGCTGGCGAGCGCCTGGTGGCTTTCATCCATGGAGCCCAGCCAGGCTCAGCCCCCAAAAGGTCATATTGGTCACCCTTCCAATGAGCCCACTACTTTCCTCTGTATTGCCCTCGGTAAGAGGCATTCTGCAGGAGTGGGCGGGTACCAGG